GAGAGAGAGAGAGAGAGAGAGAGAGAGAGAGAGAGAGAAGAAATTGATTTGGGTTTTAGAATAAAACTTGTATAATTAATATTTAATAGTTAAATATGAAAGATCTAATTTTTGAAAGAGAAAGTTCTCATCTGATTTTAGCGTATTGAATATTTAAAGTATGGTTTGGTGTAATTTTCACTTTGGGATTTGGCAAGTGTAACCATCTCTTTTTTTAATAATTGCAAGTCCGCTCTGAGTTCTCAAAATCTTGCATGTTAATCTTGAACTTTTAGATTTGTGAAAGTTGGCATTTGAGATTAAGCCCTTAGATTTTCAGATTGGAGCAATTTTGCTCTTTTTGGCTGCTTTATTTTGATTTCTAAGTCATAGTTATGATCATGGTTTGAGTTACAAGAAACTCATGTTGAGGGATGAATTGTTGGTGACCGTTGGCTCTTATTTGGAAGAAAATCTTATTACTTTTTCATCGAATTTATTTTCATCACATTTTTCTTGCACTCATAGTATGTTTACGTTCTTGTTGTTAGGCCAGTTTTTTGCTTATCTTTTGAGTGGATTGTGGGCGATCACATGGATTTTTGGATTATTAGTGTTTCTACTCGTTGGATGTACCCGTCAAGTGTTACAGTATTAGAGATGATCATGGTGGATAATAGATTTTTGCGCACAAGCTTTTAGTTCTTGGTTGGATTAGTTGAAATACAATGTAAATGGTATATCGAAGTATCATTTGTCTTGGAATGATGATTTGCTCACATTCATTTAATTTTCGAACTTAATTTGGTTTCTACAGTACCATATTGAGTTTGGAGGGGATGTTGAAGATGTGAAAAGTCATAAGATTTCAATTGTGCGAGACTAATTTATTTATCAGTTAATTGTGTGATTATTACATAATCTTCCATTCTAGAGTTACTTTTAACACTGCAAATAAAAGTCACTTTTAACACTACAAATAGGACCGCTCTTCCACTTTATAATAGTGAGACAAGTTTATTACATACAGTTTACAAGATTCTAACATCCAACATGTCCCGACCTTTGCTCAAGTTGTTGATATCTTTATAAAGGCATATTTACCCTATTCGTAGTTTTTCAAAAGACTAGAGCCAAACTCAAAGTGGTTTCCAGAACTAATGTTGGTCTTAGGAAGCCATAAACAGTTAAAGGACCATTGTGTAAGCTCATGTTTGGTCTAACTAAAAATCTATATTAAAATTTAGGACAAATTTGACAATTAATTTAAATTATACATTTCATGAGATCCACAACTTTTCAATCACTCTTACTTTTCAATTTATTTTTTAGATTGAATCCTATTCAACTAACAAATCTAAGAAACAAATATGAAGACAAAAATTCAGAGATTATATAGATACAATGGTCCTTTAATTATTTATGGCTTCCATGTCCTCCTCAAACTATAAAGTTGATCAACAAGAAACTTGAAATCTCTTAGCTTAAAGGATTAAACCAAATAAGAAGATGTTTTTGTGGGTAAAAGTTGTTTGTCAACTGTCTTCAAATTGATTTTGGATTACAACGTGAATTTTCCATTTGTTCTCAAGCCTTTTGTTGGGTGTGAAAGGTCAGTTGATTTGTTTTACATTGAGGAAGAAATATATAAATTTTCACGAATTGTAAATTTACATAATTTTCAGAAGAAAGTATGCATAATTAGATGTAATTCACTTTCATTAAATAGTATACGTAATTACAGCTGCTGTATCTAATCAAATTACGTATAAGTATATATGGCCCGTTTGGTACATGGAGGATTGGATAGTAATTGATGGAATTAGGGAACACAAAGAGACTAAAATCTTGTTCATTATATTATGAGGTCCTATTAAATACTGCAAACCGAACGTGCAAGTAGGGATGACAATTACGTTGTTGCTGGAGGACAATCTACAGGCAAAGATGGAGAAGGTGCAGCAGAAGACATAGGACCAGCAGCAGCAGATATAGGGCCAAGAGCTGCACCAGAACTTTGAATCTGAGCCGTTGAACGGCTTGGATATGTTCGTTGAGATTTTCACAAATCATCTAAAAATGCTTCTGTTAAGTGTTAACAAATACCATTAGACCACTGTGTTGAGTTTCCATTTATGAAAATGCGTACATATCAATCTTGAAGAAAAATGTCTTTGGTGTATTAATTTAAGCTTTTAGATGAGGTGGTTCTGAAACAAGGAGAAATTGGGTTTTAGAGATCACCTTCTGCAAAAGCCAAATTGTAGTAAAGGTCAACAATGTTTTGACAGTTCTGGTTACACTGCGGTGAGCATAGCTTGGTGGTGAACTGAGCGTCAAGGAGGGAGTCTGATGAGATCCCAGTGGATTTTCTGTCAACGCCCACAAGCAATCACACATTCATCAGCCTTGATATACTCGTGCAAGTTAATTGCAACCACTTCAGATGTCTAGCATTGGAAATCCATATTTCCATCAACTGATGTGTGTGTCTCTAACAGGCATTGCTTTCCAGAGGATGCTATTGAAAATGAACATAAACCAATAGGCAATTCCTCGTAGACTAATTCCCCTGCATCCAAGAAAAACAAAAAGGTTAGTCAAAGTATGGAAGAAGAAAGTAAAGGCCAGGAAGATGATCATTTTCCTTTTGGTACTTAAGATTGATTTTCTTGTGACCGGGTAGAAATGGTTTTTATATTGTATTCGTGGGGGCCTTAGCTAAATGACATTGTAATTGTCTTGTTTGAGATGTATTTTGTCATAACATGGAAATTGTTTGATGGAATTTTTGTCTGTTTTACTTGTTATGTTAATTAAGACTTTTTCCTATAATATAATGCTTGCTTTTCATCAATGAAAAGCTTGGCAAAGTGTCACTGGCCCAACAATTCAAAAGTCGAAAAAATAAAATAAAATGAAAAAGGTTGGCTTGACATGTGCCTTTTAGGCTTCTTGCTTGTAGCAAAATTGAAAAGTGGGTGACGACTAAGAGTATGTTAATGGAGGAATAACGAGTAAGGTAATTGACAACATTAAAGAAAAGTACGTTAAAAAATGAAATTACATTCCAAAATTTAATCATTTGATTAGTTACGCAGAGTATTATCGTACGCCTGTCCCCAAAGACGAACAGAAAATAGAAAATTGCTCACAAACAAGACAAAATATTGATCTGTAATAATAACTTTGATAATAGGACAAAATAGGAATATATTATTCCCTTTACGACTTGTTTTTGTAAGTTCCCGACATTATACCAACAATAAAAAACCAAGCTTAATTCCCAAATTGCCTACGTGGATCCTTATCGTTGCTTGATTTACTTGGACAAACTGATCTAAAGAATCGTACAAAGATTGGCAACTTTGCCTATGCGTTCCGGCTTCTGAATTCCATTGCTAACAAGGCAAATATTATTATAAGAGAGAGTCTAATAAAAATAGACAGAATTTCCTTCAACAAAATTCCCTTCATTATTCCAAAATACTCCTCAAGCAGCACCACTACCATGTCATTTTGTTAAGCCCCTGGCCTACCCTATCCTCATTGTCCCAAGCCCACCGTCCCAGCCCACAGACGCTATAAAAGCCTTCTTCTGCAGGAAAATCACTTCACACCATTCCCAACATCACCAAGCCACAAGAGAAATCAACTTTTCCTAAGCACAAAAATTAAGTTTCTGTACTAAAATGAAATCGATCACCATCATCGCCTTTGCTCTCTTCCTCCAGGAAGCTCTTGGTAACCCACAACACGAGCTCTTACATTAATTTTCTTGATCTGTTGTCCAATCCCACGCTATGACGAACATTTACGTTTCTCTTTTTTCCTTGATACAGGGGTACTAGTCTGCGAGGAAATGCCAGTTGGTTTGTGTTCTTTCTCAATCGCTTCCTCTGGGAAGCGATGCCTGTTAGAGACGTACGCATCAAATTATGGAACCATGAACTTCCAATGCAAGACATCTGAAGTGGTTGCTATTAACTTGCATGATTATATTGAGGCAGATGAATGCGTAATTGCCTGTGGGATTGATAGAAAATCTGTCGGGATCTCATCAGACTCCCTCCTCGATTCTCAGTTCACTGCCAAGCTATGCTCACCACAGTGTTACCAGAACTGTCCCAACATTGTTGATCTTTACTACAATTTGGCTCTAGGAGAAGGTGATCCTCACAACCACCACCACACCACAGATACTATTCTGTCGGCATTTAGTTAAAAATAACTCTACGATTCAAATATTTGAAAAAGTTCTTTATCATCTATAACGTTGTATTTACTAACAATTAAGAGGGGCATTTTTACCTGATTTGTGCAAATCTCAACAAACAAGTTCACGGCGTTCAATGGCTCAGATTCAAAGTTCTGGTGCAGCTTTTGGCCCTATTGCTTCTACTGCTGCTGGTCCTATGTCTGCTGCAGCTCCTTCATCTTCACCCGTAGATTGTGCTCCAACTCCAATGTGATTACATTCCTATAACTATTTATGGAATTTGATTCGGTACAGCAGTTGTAACTATGTATACTATTTAATGTAAGTGGACTACATCTGATTATGCATAACTCTTCTGGTAGTATTGCATACCTTCAAATTATATTATAAGAAAAACGACCAAATAGAAGTATTAATCTAAATACACAATGCCCTCACACAAAAACATATAAGATGTCCAGAAATTATGCAATTTAAACAAAGTTCATGTCATCTCAAGAATGTCATGTACACTATTCATTTGAAAAGTAGAAATAAGATGGATTTACCTATAGAAAACATCGCTTATTTTAGCGTGGCCACTACCCTATCCCCATGTAGTGTTGCCGCTGAAAGCTATTTTACATTTACACATGGACATCTTCAGCTAATGACCGCGCCTATCTGATACATGGATATATGCAACAAAAGCAATATACAGACAAGTGAAAACAACCTGATACCAAAACAAAATTTAGATTTAATTTTAATTTTGTTAAAATAGATTATACATTTTTATTTTTATTTTTGGTTAATTTGCAAATCGGATACAAGGGCTATGGATTTGTATTCGATATTAATTCTACATAATTAACTTTCTTCTTCGATTCTGATCTTCTTCTCATATGTCAGTTGCCAATCATTTCATTCTCCTTTTTTTACACAATGTTTATTTTTCTAAAATATATAACTAAAGGATCTATCACTTGGGGGATGCATTATTTACGAATAATTCTACCTAGATATCTGGAATGAGAATAGTTCAATACATTAATGCTATTATAAAATGGTAAACCATCATCAGGTAAAGTATTTGAGACCTATTAATCTTTATGCACGTGTAGACAAATTGATTTCATTTCTGACATAGCAAGAAGAAAGTCATAAAGCAGAATCATAATATGTTAACAATGCAACAAGAAGTAAAAATTTGTGCTAATGAGTCTAAGCTCCACAAAAGTAACCAAGAAATTTATGTCCATTTTATTTAATTAGTTCTGCTTCTAATTTGCTGAAAATAATAATAATAATAATAATAATAATAATAATAATAATAATAATAATAATAATAATAATCTTTGACTTCCTTTGATTCACATATGAAGTAGTTGATTAGAAAGAAAAGAAAGTTCCATTGCCAAATGCTCAATAATCTGTAGAAAAACAAGTAGAACTTGCAGCATGATTAAGTAATGACCACAACAATTTCAAAAACATCATTTATATAACTGCATAAAGTGTAGATTCTTCTATTCTGTATGCAAATCAAATACTATATAAAAGACTTGTTTCCTGCTTGCCAAAAATTTACAAATATAAGCAATATAGGACACACTATATTCTCAGTATCCAAACAGTATCAAGACCTTAACGGAACTTTAAGTTTACAACTAGTTAAGAAAACATTTTCAAGATTTCCAAGTCATGGCATAACACATGCCTACAGAGAGGAAATGAGACGGAGAAAGAGAATGGAAGGATGTTTTTAACGAAAGGATGTTTTTAACAAGTGTGAAGATGAAGTGTAATTGTCATGTCTTACCCATATATTGTCCACTGAGACTGAGTAGATCATGGGCTTTCTCTCGATGACATTAACCATTCAAGGAATGGTGATTTGACTGCATTGATATGGGGATCACTCTCACGTCCATATTAGTGTGGACGGAAGGATCAAGCAGAGACTAACCCACAAAAATTCTCTGTTGCATTTGCTCACACCAAGAGAATGACCAATGCAACAGAAGTAACAACTTGGGTGATTTGCTGGTATCATTCACATCCTCATAATCCATCCCTTCGTGTGTTGATGCGTAGACTGCATATATATTCCGGTTTGTTTGGGTGATACTTTCTTGTTTCAGTAAGACACTTGAATGGTTTGGAGGACTCAAGTCATTAGATACCAATCTAAAGATTGAATTGCAATAATTTAAGTCCGAACCATTTGAGGATCTTCACGGAAAGATGAAAACATCACCCCCAATAATCGAGTGCGCAGTGGTGGCCTGACTATAGGTGGAATAGGTGATCGTCTAAGGCCCCACTTTAATGAGGGCTCAAAATATGTAAGATTAATTGGTTGGTTGGAGAAAAAAAAAATTATATTTATAAAATTCTTTAAAATAGAATTATCAATAAGAAAACTCAAGAAACTAATAAAAATCGAAAATACAAAAATCTATAGAAAAACATATAAATGGCATAAAACTTCTCACTTACATTTATTTATCATATAAATATATCATAAACATTTCTCTCTCTCTCTAAGAAATTTGACCATTTATCTTCTAAACATTCATTTCTTTTAACCAAACAAAAAGGTCTCTTTGTCTCTTCAAATTAACTCATCATAATTTTTTTTTTCAACCCACTAAGAAATGAATTATCTCACTTTGGATTAAAATTTTGTAGATTTAATTTAGCAGATTGGTGTGGTCTTAATGCCATTATTACAACTTTATAGGTTTCTTTCTTTCTTCATTATCTTTAAGATATATATTACAGGATACATAGGCTGTTATTATTATTATTTTGATTTAAATTCATGATGATAGCCCTTTTTAGGCGCTTGTTCAAGGTACATTGAATTTAATAATTCTTTGTCTGTGTACATATTCTTATTTGTAAGTTAATTTAATATGAATTAATATAAAATTAGAAGCTTATTTATATTTGATCATAATTTTCAACATTTTGTTATATTATCTCTCGCAATCAACATTCTCCAATTTTGTACATAAATCACTCAAATGCATATTTAATTTTATTTTAAATAGTTGCAGTGAGAAAATGATCAAATATACGAACAGACCTTCTTGCTATTGCATTATAATTTTGTATGCCAAACTTCACTTATAATTTGTATTGCATATTGAAATTTGACATTTTATTATTTTTCTCTTCAAATTTTGGGGTTTAGTTGTTTGTATTAGATTATTCTTAATTATATTAAAACTATTTATAAGAAGGTTCAAGTAAGATTACAATAATTTTTCTTCACTAGGGCCCAATATTTGAGGTTGGCACGAGTCCCTCAAAATATCAGGGTCGATCCTACGAGCGAGTGGCAGAGTTCAAATTTCAAATATAAAACAATGCTATTTTGTCAATTTTGGATCCTAGAATAGTAGAACGTTCCTCGATTTTGGCAACAGTAAATTCTCAGATTCAGTCTCAGAGTCCCTTAGTGAAGCCATTTAATATTCTAGTTCCATGGTGCAACAACGGTTGCCGAAAATGTAAAAGCTACAATGGGATTGCAAAGATTGCCAGTGAACCTTAATCCAAATCTAAAGCTAGACTCATCTCTTAAATCACAGTTGTTATCTACACCAAGTTCAGCAAGCACCACAGAAGGGATCAAACACCAGTTTTCCTGCTCCTTTGGCGTTTACTTTCCTGGCTCCTCCACGCAGGTCGAGCCCTTTCAGCTGGACATCACCAAACTCCTCTACCTTGTCTAAGATTTACGTGAACAGGAGTCCTTCTTGAAAACTAAACTATCGGAGAATAAGCTTCTTAGAGCATCCGCCGCCATTGTCCCAGTTCTTGAAAATGAGAATTCAATCAAAGAGTATGAAATTGAATATGCGAAGGAAGGGTTGAAATATGAGGATGTGAATGATACCAGCCAATCATCCAACCTGTTATACCTGTTGTTATGGACATTCTCTCAGTGTTAGAAGATGCAGCAGAGAACTCTTGTGGGTTAGTCTCTGCTCGATCTTTTTGACCATACTAACGTGGTCGTGAGAGCGATCTCCATTTGGTATAATATTTGGATATTGTTTATTATATATATTATTGGGTTTTAATACCCAATAAATCTCAAGCTATGATGTTATACGTGGGAATATCTTGCATAGGCTTCGGTCAATGAGTGAAATAATTATCAACAACTGAGTCCAAAGGCTCAACCCGGTCTATTTATATTATTTTTTGGATGGCATTGAATTTTGGCCCATTTAATCTTGTTATTGGTCTAACTAAAAAGCCTAACTTAACCCTATTTATATGAGCTTACCCTAGCTGTTTTTTAGTGTGTGATTTGTTTGTTTTGAGAGGAGAAAGCGTGTGCCATTGAGAGACAAAAATCCAGATGCCTTTGTGGTGTCAAAAACCGGTGACTTCCCTTGCCTTTTGTGGTCTCTTCCTTGCCTCCTACAAATCATCACCGTGATCTTGTCTTTTATGGATGAGATTGAGAAGCAATCGATGTGAATATATTGATTGTGGATTAGAACCATTTGGATTGATTGGTTGATAGAGAAAGATAACGTGAAACTGAGTCTAGAAAATACCATTTTGAAAATCATTGGAGCAAATTCCGCAACATATATTTTATCGATGCTAGAAATTTAATTAGTGTTAATAGATTAATGATTGTGAATTCCTGGAATTCATTTATTGTCAATTTTGTTAATGGCTCAATGCTTATTAATTAGTGGAATTAGATATGTGATTAGTTAAATAATTTTTCTGGTACATTATAACTGATTTTTGAAGAAACAATGTCCTATTAATTTATCTGTTTATTCAATTTGGTTATTGCTCCAGCAAATTGGATGAATAACTTCTGTTATTCATGTACAGTTAAAAAGATATATGAAATTGTTAATGATATAATTATGATTTTTTGGAGAGAGAATCATAGTCAGTCATAACATTGTAGTTAAAAGAAAACATGTTATTCTAGCATTCAACCTAATCTAATTTGATTAAGGAACAAAACATTTAACTTGAGTCCAAACATAATATTCCAATAATTTTAACTAAAATCGACATTTAAAGTAATAAGATCTTTTTGTGTCTTGATTAAAATTTTAGCCTGGCGTCACAAAGCCCTTGAGAAGAAAATGAGGGAGTACTAGACTCTCTTACAATCATTTTCTCAAAAACTTAGCTCTGGCAAGCATTTTCACTTAATTTCAATTTCTCTTACAAGATCTTGATGGACATTCATGACAAGACTAAGCAACATTACATAATACT